AATTATCAAGGGCTCATGAGGGAGGGGGGAGCAGGGAGGGAGGGGGAAAAAAAGAGGACCTGATGCCAGGGGCTTAAGTGGAGAGCAAATGTTTTGCGAATGATGAGGACAATATATGTAAAAATGTGCTTTACACAATTGATGTATGTCTGGATTGTGATAAGAGTTGTATGAGCCCCATATTAAAATGATGTTAAAAAGATTAATTCATTCAAAAACAAACAAACAAATAAACATTGAGTCCTCCCTCTAGGATCCAAGCACGGGCACTTCAGTGATCCATGTGCCTTCAAAGTCTTTGTTTTATCCCTGGAGACAGTGAGGTGGGTGTGACGACTGCTGGGAGAGGTGCGAGAGAAGCTGAGGTGGGTCAGGCATGACAGTTGGAGGGGTTGTGCTCCAGGGCAGGAGTATCAGGGCAGGGCCCAGGAACCAATGTGGAGGCCTGACAAAGAACAATCCAGTGCAGCAGTAAGGCCCCAGCTTAGCTATAGTTTGAGGTTAAGGAAATAGGGAACAATAGGCAAATGGGCCTTACCTTCCCATGCAGCTATACTGTGAAGTGAACATAACTGGGGGGAAGGGGACACAAGATTATAAGAGTTTGTTTTCAAATATGGGGTACCAAGTCTACTTAAAGGTTGGGGGTTTCAAGTCTACTTAAAGGTTTGTGTGGAATGAACCAATGGGAAGGGAGAGTTTGTTTTGAAGGAGAATGAAAAAGGTGGAATTCGGCCAAGTAAAGCACAAGGTTGAAGATGGACAAGATCTGTGAGGACACACAGATAGTTCAAGGCTCATTGTGGTGCCTGGGATGTGTGAATGGGTGTTCACAGTACAATTCTTTCCACTGTTCTCCCAGAAAATTTTGTATGAAAATATTGGGTAATAAAACGATTAAAAAAAAAAGATTGGGGGATACAATGACGACAGAAAAACTGGTTAAACGGTAAAAGGGGGACATGTATGCCTTGTTGTGGCAGGTCAAGTTCATTGCCTCAGGTTCTTTTGTAAAGTTGGACCCATTCCCATCTGCTGAGACCAAGGGAGGGCTCTTGGAGGAAAGAGCATGTGGGTGGGATAACACTTGGTGCCCATGAGAGTGGACCAAGCAGTCCTGCGTATAGGGTGGACATGGTGCTGCTCAGGTTGAGGTGAAGTGGAAGGACCCAGTGGAACCCCTGTGCAGCTTTCCTCAGTACTATTCAAAGACAAGGAATGCTGTTGGCACTGTTGGACCACTAACCCCACCGTTGGTGCTTCAAAACCATTAGCCACTCCAAAGAGACAAAGATGAATCTTTCTGCCCCCATCAAGAAGTATAGTCTCCAAAACCCAGAGGGGCAGTTCTACTCTATCTTCTGGGTTCACTATGAATCAGAATGGACATTTTGGTGATGAGTTTGGTTTTGTGTTCTTATCGGAATACAGTGGGATAAAAAATCATACTACACAGTTTTGTTAAAGCTACTCTCATTAACATTTAACTAAGACCATTGTATTGTCTTCCTCAGGTCAAAGAAGACCGTCCAGAAAATGTACCAGATTTAAAACTACTGGTGGAAAGGAAATTTGTGGCATTGCAGAATAAGAATTCTGATGCAGACTTTCAAAATAATGAGAAGTTTGTGCAATACAAGCAACAGCTGAAAGAACTTAAGAAGCAGTGTAAGTCAGCATGCTTTGCTTTGTTTTGGCTTTTGTAAATTAGGGAACTGCCCGGTTGAGCAGTCCCCCCAAAAGACAAAGTGTGCTTATCTGCTTGGCTTGACCCCTCATTCTGAATTTCTTTTGATTGCTGCTCTAAATCTGCATTTCTGTCTTAACTTTTGGTTCAAACCAGCCTGCTCATTTCAGAAAGCCAGCATTTTCCATAAAATCCTAAGGAAATTCCCCAGCAATGTCCCGGCAGTGCCCTGCTGCCTGGAGGGGCGCCGGGAAAGCAAAATTACACCAAAGACCTTCTTCTTAGTCTTCTCATTCCCATGTATGGTGGTTTTCCAATTCGAAACTGCTGTGCCATGCTTGACCATAACCATCCTGGGATTCCAGTCTTGCTGCTGTGCAGTAATGCCATCATGTTTTCAGAGCTCTCTCTCTCTCTCTCTTTTCCCTTTTCCATTTCAAACACGAACCCTAAACCTCCTTGATTCCTTCAATCTTTGTGGCACTATGCATTTCATAGCCCTTTAAAATTTCTTGTTTTCTCATCATTGTGTGATACTGCGATGTCATTTTAATGAGCATAATTGTGATTGAAAGAGGAAAGTGGGGAAGATTATGGATCATACAAACGTTTTAAGGACAGCATTTGTCAGAAATAATACGTCTTTTCTGTAAAGTGAAACCCACATGTCCTTTCTTGTCCCTTGTCTGTCTCCATGGGTGCCGCACAATTATTTTATGTAAATTATTGTTTTAGCATGAACACCTGCTAAGTTATATTGCCTTCTGTTTAGGATCAAGATTCTTATTCAGAAACAACTGAAAGAGTAAACAAGTAAAAGACAAGCATTAGTCTCACAGCCCCTCCATTTGCATAGACATGGGAGGAGAACAGAATATAAGACGAGAATGTCGACTCCCAGGTCCTCAGTTGTGTTTGGTGTAGGGTTCATATTTTGAAATCGGCTTTCTCCTAAATATCAGCCTTTTCTCTCCACGGATGCTGAGGTCTCAAAAAATGACTGAGGAAGCTGCTTTGCTCTCATCCCTTTTACAAATAACTTAGGTTTCACAATTGGGAATGTTTTGCAATCATGATGAGACTCTTGGTTTTACTGTGGATTTAACCAGTAAGCATTTTCCCCTAATTTAACTCTACTTTGTATTCTTCGTCGAACATCCCAGCAACTCAAAACTTTCCTACAGCAATTTTCACTATTCCCTCCAATGGGCGATAATCCCCCAAATGGGTAGTAATTAACTGGTGAGTTTTTGCTATTCGGGATGAAAGTGGGGTGCAGTCTAGTGTTGGTCAAAATAAGCACATGCCCTTCCTTTGACAGCTTGGAGCCAAGAAAGAAAAGAAGGTGGGGGGGGACAAATTTAGCATCCTGTCATAATTTCTGATACGTTAGCTGGTTTATCCTACAGGTTGAAGGATAAATAGTCCCAAATAGAAATTTCTTCATTCTTTGTTGGTATTTGTACAGTTATTATTCCATAAGCGAAACTATGAAGACTTTTGGAATCACATATTCATAAGGAAGCACTTTTAAATTGAAGAGTATACCATTCAAGACTATCATAAATATTGGAACCATAGTTATTATTTCTTTATTTCACTATAAAATAAAGCAGAAAGATTTCCCCAGACCAGTAGTCACGCTGTTTGGATAGACTTTTAAAACCTGTGACGCAGTAAGTTTAGAATGCAAGAAATACTTCCTTATAGAAAGAAGTTTCAGGTTTCTCTGTATGTGGTCACTGTAGAATTAAGGCAAGAAATCCTGCTTTTTATTTCCCCTAACATATTGTTTTCAGAAATTCTTTTCTCAAATGACAGCTAAATATTAACACTCATTTAAAGTGCTCCATAAGATATGCATATAGGTATGTATGTATAGATGAGTATATATACCTTACTTGCAAAGTGTATTTCTTCACCTATGATTAGCCCTTTTAGTTAAAATTGTCCCATATGGAATGGATTTTATTCCTTTAGATATAATGCTGCTTTGAGGGTCCTTAGTAGGAGAACCAGGTTAGTCCCACCTCATTGGTGCAGATGGGCCGAAGTGACTCTAATTTACAAAGGAGCCAGTGACTGTTGGTTTTGAGATGTGTTCAGGAGGCTAGACCCCACAGTGATAATCATTTTAAAAATTGGAACTGAGAAGCCATCGTTAGTGGAAACTGCCTATTTTGCAAAGCAAGGGCTGAAGTGCTTTCTGGCCTGTGGCTCTCTGCAGGGTTCTTTCACGAAGAGTGCCCTCACCCTCCCACCAGCTCCACTCCTCAGGGGAACGGACGCATGGGGTTAGTTAAGAGTTTGCCAGAGAAGGGTCTGGCCAAAGAAATGCCCGAGACAGTTCTTAGGTGGGGAGACAGCAGGGTGGAGACTAAAGTCAGGGGGTCTTCAAGTTCACCTGAGCAGCCCTGAGGAAGTCCCCTGGGGGCTGGCCCTGCCGTCATGAGTGAACCCAGCTTTATTTAGCTCAGCAGCTGGCTCTCTAACTGTGTGCTCTCAAGATCACTTTATGCTCTACAAATGTATTGAGGGGCCTGTATACTAAAGAGCTTTGGACTATATGTACCAATATTTATCACACTAGGAGGAAACAGAACTGAAGAATTTAGGCAACATTTACTCAGCTAATTAAAATTTTCACTGTATTTTGTCATTGGGGTTAGTCCTCTTGAATTTTTGTTATATGTTTTTGCTGTATATGAAACCCAGGATTGAAGAACCCATAGAGATAACAAGTAAAATAAGAATTCTTGGAGGGTACAGTGTGGGGAAGGGGGCCTAAAGGGGAGCGGATATCAAAGAGTGCAAGAAGGAAGAGTAGGTTTTGAAACTGCTGGTGGTAGAAATTGTACAACACTGCTTGACATGATTGAATTATGGAATGATATGATATCTGTATTAGCTCCCAATAAAATTGTTTTGATAAAACAATTCAATGATAAATCCATTACATGTAACCATAAAAAGCATTTTGGATGACATATAATTATCTTTTTCAAAGAAAACCCATCAAGAAAAGTAACATTTCCTACTTTTGCAAACCTCTCCAATTTCTGGGGGAATAAGACAGCTAGAGCCTGACATGTGCTTCTTCTGCACTCAGTGCCTTGTGACGAAGCCTTGACTGGAGAAGAGAAAGAAAACCCAGTCTCACTCATGATGGCTGGACCCGCTGAGAGGGAGGGTTCTGTGGCCCCTGGGAAGTTCTCACTTGGACCACCACAGGTCTAGAGCAGAGTCCAGTAAAGGACGGCCCATGAGCCACATCCAGTCTGCCTCCTGTTTTTCTGTGTCCCACAAGCTAAGGATGAGATTTTGAAATTGTTGGTGGGGGAAGGAAAAACAAAGTCACATGAGCAGTGCTCTTTCTTAACATGTGAAAATGATATGGCAATCAGGTTCCAGTATTCACAAGTGAAGCCTTATTGTAACACAGACACCTTCATTCATGGACTTATTGCCTGTAGCTGCCTTCACACAGCAGTGGCTCAAATGAAGAGTTGCCACAGGCATTAACTGGTCTGTAAAATCTGAAATAGCTGCTTTTTGAAACTTTACAAAAAAACCCAAAAAACACGATCTTTAATCTGGACCATGTCCAGAAATAAGGTTGGCTTAAAAAGGAGAAAGAAAAGCAACTTTAGGTTTTTCCCTAAATACCATATGTTTGGGTCTTTAGATCTTTAAATTTAAAAAATGTTGACATTTTTGGACCCTCCTCTGTGTCAGTTATCCAAGAGATAGCACAGTTGGCGCTCTGAGTGGACTGGAATGTGGAGTCCCTGTCCTTTGAGCAGATAATGCACTTAAGCATGAGACACTGTGAGAACTACTCAGGACAAATCTCAACTCAAAAGCACAGAAAACATCAGGCACAACATGAGGTCAGTCAACATGGGACATGAGCGAGGAGCGTCATCCTGGGAATGTGGATTTTATCAGTGAACTGATGCTACCACTGGTGGCTGCCCGCAGCCATGTGTTGCGAGTGAATCTGAGGCCCGATTCAGGCCCTGAGTGAACAGTGCCCTGGGATTGTGGTAGGAGAAGCGAGGCCATACGATGGCTACCATCCCATACACTCCCTATACCGACCTTGCTGCCATCCAGTCAGTGCTGACTCATGGCGACCTCCTGTGGGTTTCTGAGACTGTGATTGTTTACAGGAGCAGAAAGTCCATTCTTTGTCCCTCAGAGCTGCTGGTAGTTTTGAACTGCCGACCATGCAGACTGCAGCCCAACATGTAACCACTACATCACCAGAGCTGCTTCTCACACACTACAGTCATTTCAAAATAGTCTAACTTTGTACGTGCTTTAGTTGCCAACGCCATCTTTTTTTTCTTCTAATTTTTAAAAACAGTTCTCTTTTTAAGATACTATCTAGCAGGTATAGTTTGGCAGTTGGTTTAGGAGCTCTGGTGGCATAGAGGGTTTGTATTGAACTGCTAAACAAAAGTTCAGTGGTTTTAACCCATCTTGGGCTGAAAGATAAGGCTGTCTGCTCCCACAAGGATTTAGTCTCCAAAATCTACGTAGGGTCCCAACGAGTCATCATGGATTTGATGGCAGTGTGTTCTTTTTTGTTTTGTCGTTAGAAATACGATATCAGCTTTAACTCACTTGCCAGGATTCTGAGCAAATTTGAATGAGATAATGCAAAAACTCGCCGAGCTCCCTTCAGAATTATGTTGCGATTGAGAAAGGGTGTAGTGGAAATGATATGAGCTCAGCTAGTCGACCTGCGTTGATTCCCACAGTCTGTCTCCCTGCAGATTCAACCCCCTCTTGTAGGTCTCCTGCTTGGGGCCATGCAAGCCCAGATTCCACGCCTGGACTGCAGGACTAGGTTGGTGACAGGGATGATGGTGATAGTGGCAGAGGGAACTGCTTCCAAGAAAGGAATTCCATCTCCCTATATGGGACTCGGATTCCTGCTCACCCACGTGGTGAAGCAAGCAGTGTGAGTTGGTTG